GCCCAGAGTTCAGGCCCCACAACCGGAAAAAAAAAAAAAAGAAAAAAAAAAGATTGAATAAGATAATCTGTGTATAAGATTGAATCCCTTAGGGGGATGGTAGGAAAAGTAGAAAAATGGGGGAAGGGATAACAAGTTTGAGAAGAAATATACTTATTACCTTACTTATGTAACTGTAACCCCTCTGTAACCCCTCACCTTGACAGTTAAAAAAAAGATTGAATCCCTATAAGTCACTTAGACTTAGAAGCAGAGGTTGTATTCTTCTCAAGGTAGACCTAGTTAAATCCCAGGCATTCCATTAGATTGTTTTTTAATTTTTTATGCATTCCTTAAGTTTCTTTATCCTTATGGTTAAATTTGGGATGATAGTGTAAGGGTAGTGATGAAGTTAAAATGAAGATTAAAGAAGGTTTTTTAAGGAAAACAAAGAGTATTTGGAAGTATAAAAATATAAATTGTTAACAGTAAAATATTCAGGAAAGTGCTTGATATATATATATGCATCAAACAACCAGATATATAAAACACTCTTAGACTTTAAAAACTGATAGGTCTCCAACAAAATAAAAGTAGGAGACACCCTACATTCACCAAAAGACAAGTCAGCCAAACAAAGGATCAGCAAAGAGGCCTTTGAATGAAAGAACACCATAACCCAAATCGTTTAAATACATGTATGCAATACACATATGCAGAGTATTTCACCCAACAACCACCCAATACACATCCTTTTCAGCAGCCCATGGAACCTTCTCCAAAATAGATTGTAGCCTAGGACATTCAACAGGCCTGAAGAAATCCAAAAGGATTGAGATAATTCCCTGTATCCTGTCATATCACAATTGAATTAAACTAGATATCATTAAAAAAGATATTACAGAAAACATGCGAACACCTGGAGACTGAATACACTATTGAATAGCAGGTAGGTCACTGAAGAAATATAGGAAGAAATCAGAAACGTATACCAAGAACCTCTGAGATATAGCAAAAGCACTGTTGAAATGAAAGTTCATAGCTTTTAGTGTGCCATAAAGAAAACAGAAACAGTTCCTGATGGAACTAAAGCTACTAGAAAAGCAGGAACAAACAAAACCTTAAAGTACCAGATGGATAATAAAGGTTAGGGCAGAAATCAATGACTTAGAGAACAAAAAGAAACATGCATAGAATCAATAAAAGAAAAAAACCTGTTCCTTGAAAAAAAATAAAATTGACAGACTCCCAGCTAAGTGAATGGAAAAAAAGAAGAGACTCAAATCGGCAATATTGGAGGGTGACAAAGATAACATCACAAGAAATATCTAAGAAATCCAGAAGAATATAAGGGACTACTTATGTTGTTGTTGGTTGTAGGGCTTGAACTCTGGGCCTGAACGCTGTCCCTCAGCTCTTCAGCTCAAGACTCACATTCTACCACTTGAGCCACAGTGCCATTTCTGGTTTTCTGGTGGTTAATTGGAGATAAGAGTCTCACAGACTTTCCTGTCTGGGCCAGCATTGAACCATGATCTTCAGATCTCAGCCTCCTGAGTAGCTAGGATTAAAGGTATGAGCCACTGGTGCTGGGCTATGAGGGACTACTTTTTAAAATTTATTCTCAAGTAAAATGAAAATCTAGCAAATATGGATAAGTTCTTAGAGACATACAAGCTGTCTAAGCTGAATCAAGGAAATATAAATCACAAGCAATGAGATCAAATAAGTAATAAAAGAGTCTTACAGGGGCTGGGACGGTGGCTCAGTGGTAGAGTGCTTGTCTTGCATGCATGAGGCCCTGGGTTTGATTCCTCAGCACCACATAAGCAGAAAAAAGCTGAAAGTGGCTCTGTGGCTCAAGTGCTTAGAGTGCTAGCCTGAAGAGCTGAGGGACAGCACTCAGGCCCAGAGTTCAGGCCCCACGACCGGCAAAAAAGTGTCTTCCAACAAGGAAAAGTCCAGAACACCAAGTCCTATCAGAACACCATGGCAAGAGAAAGACCTAAAGGGGATTCACATAGAAGAGGAAGAAGTCAAATTATCCCTATTTGCAGATGATATAATCCTGTATCTGAAGGACCTAAGATCTAAAGCTGATCAACAGTTTTGGCAAAGTAGCAGGATACAAAATTAACTACAGGACACAAAAATAACTACATCAACAGTGTACAAGCAAGGAAGGGATGTCAGAAAAATATTTCCATTTGCAATTGCTTTAAAAAAAATAGAATATTTAGGAATAAACTTAATCAAAAAAGGAAAAGATCTCTCCAATGAAAACTATAAAAATCTGGAGAAAGAAATCAAAGACAAAATCAGAAACTGGAAAGATCCCATTTTCATAGATATATAGAATTAATGTTGTGAAAATGGCCATACTGCTAAATGTGACCTACAGATTGAACATAATCCCCATCAAAATCTGAATGACTTCACTGACAGAAAATCCAAAATTTCTTAGGGAAAACAAAACCTTGAATAGCCAAAGCAATTTTAAGAGAATAAAAGCAACCCAAGACCTCAAGCTCTGAGATGTAATAACAAAAATAGGTCTGAAGATCTATGGAACAGACTAGAAGACTCAAAAAATAATGCCGTGTACTCAGTGTTATTCCTGATATTTGACAGGTGAGCCAAAAATGTATGGTAGAACAAAGATACAGCCTCTTAATAAATGATGTTGAGAAAATTGGACATCCATATATAGAAAACTAAAGGTGGATCCCTGTTTGTCACCATGTACTAAAATGGATCAAAGACCTCAACAAACTATTGTAAGATGGAGTAAGAGAAATATTAGAACTTATAGGCATAGGCAGGAAGTTTTTGAAAAGATTCCTAGGGCACAGCAAATAAGAGAGAGACTTGAAAAATAGGAAGGCTTATATTAAAATAAATTTCATCACAGCAAAGGACATAGTTACGAAACTAGAAAGACAGCCAACACACTGCAGTACATCTGACAAAGGCATACTATCAAAAATATACAGGGAACTCAAAAAATTTCCTCTAAAACTAACAAACCAACCAACAAATGAGCAATGGAGTTAGTTAAGACAGACTTCTCTAAAGAAGTTGTTACAATAGCAAATGAATACATGAGGAAATGCTCAACAGTCCTGGACATAAAGGAAGTACAACTTTTAGATTCTATCTATCTCCAGTTACATCTCATCAAGAATTCAAATAGCAACAAATGCTGGCAAAGATGTGGGAGAAGGAACCCTCGTACAACCAATCTGGCAGGTGTTTTGGAGTTTCCTCTAAAAACTAGACAGAACTTTCCTATGAGCCATCCATACTATTCTTGGGCATCTACCCAGAATATTACACACAGGTATACCATAGAGACACTTAACACATGCATGTTCATTGCTGTATTGTCACAATAGACAAAATTTGGAAATGGCCCAGATGCCCTATGATAGATGAGTGAATCCAAAAAATGCGGTATACATACACAATGGAATTTTACTCATCCATTAGAAAGAATAGATAATCATTTATAGGGAAATGGATGGATGTAGAATAAATCATATTAAGTGAGATAAACTCCAAGAGTCAAATGACACAACTATTCTCTTGTATGTAAAACATATTTGGACATTATAACTTATACATGACTGTAGACATTCATATACAAACAGACCAAAGTAGGATACCAGTAGGGGAGGAACCCAAAGGTGGAACTATACTGAACATGTACAGTATTGTTTATCAAAACAAATTCTAGGAAACAATTGTTGAATGAACGCATTTTTCTTGTGGTTATTGTTGTGGTGGTGATGTGTATGTATAGTTTTTCTGCTTCTTAGGGGGTATGTAGAAAGGGAGGGAGGAGAGTGAATGCAATCATTCTGTTCATTATGCACTATATGGAAAGTGAACTATGCAACTTATGGCCAGGGACAGGAGAGGGAAGTAGGGGCAAGTGAAGAAAAGTGTGCCATTGTCTAAAAGAAATGTACGTATTATATTACCTGAATTGTGAGATGGTAATCTTTCTGTACAGCACCTTTAATAATGACAAAATTAAAATATGAAGGAATTACATACATTTTACTAAAATTTTACATATTAATGACACTTGGTGTGATATTTCTATATATGCATATATCATATACCTAATATATGTAGTCAACAAAATTACAAGTTAAAGTTTGTGAGATGACATTTAGATGCAATCAAAATTGCTCCTTATCCTCTTAGCACTTATCATTTATGAAATTATGAAACTGAGGTATATGTTTTACTGAGAAGAGGATACCTACATAAACAGTTGCAACAGAAGGTAGAAGTTGATTAGTATCCTTGAAATTCTGTAGCTAAAATTTTAGTTTTAGGTAGTTCTTCATAGCAGAAGATTTCAACGAAGGTGGCCTGAAACCTTTGTTCTTAAAAAAGTCCAGAAATGTTTCATGACATAGTAGGCAGTAGGTAATTACTAAATGAATGCATCTTGAAAGTGGATAGATAAAGCAAAGGGAAAGAGAAGGTAAGTTCCTGGGCAGAGTTTGAATCATGAAAAAGCAGAATCATGAAATATTAGAAGCAGGATTTTGATTTTTTTGTATTTTGTTTTGTGATTAACAAAATATAGTACTCATGATCTTTGAAGAAGAAGTGAGATGTGATTTGGGAAAGTATAGAGTTAGTCACCACAATGATTACGTCTTCCTTTAAGTCCCCTATTACATCATCAATGGTCAAGCTGACCTCAGAGCAATGTTTTGTTTTATTTAATGAAAGAATTCTATCAAAAGGAATGTTTTTAAATCCTTACAAGCTGTCAGTGTGTTCACTGGAGAAAGCTTTTTGTTCAGAGCACTTTTTGCAGTAATCTTAACAGGAAGCAAAAACAGAAAAGATCTGTTAAATGGGAAATTGTAGAGGCAAAATCTTACAGGCTTGGTAATAACTTGACATGGAGATTTCAAGATTACTGTACAGCCTTATCAGTATTCATTATCTATTTCTCAAACTATTGAGAAAACATGTGAATTTTTTAATCTTTACAGGTACAAAAACAACATGCAAAGGAAGAGTCTCTTGCTGATGACCTCTTTAGGTAAGGCTTGATTTCAGGTTTCTCTTTTTTTTTTTTTCTGGTCCTGGAGCTTGAACTCAGGGCCTGTGGGCACTGTCCTTGAGCCTCTCTGTGTCTAATACTAGTGTTCTACCACTTGAGCCACAGTGCCACTTCAAGCTTTTTTCTGTTTATGTTGTACTGAGGAATCGTACCCAGGGTTTCATGCATGCTAGGGAAGCACTGTACTGCTAAGCAACATTTCCAGCCCCTCTGGTACTTTTAATCTTCTCATACAAAATGAATTATTGTATGTGCAGATTAAATAATTGCTTCCTATCCACACTAGTCCTTTCATCTAAAGAATATTTTGTGTTTAACATATATTTCTTTCTATTACCTTAGCACCTGTTAATTAATTGGGTTTCCTTTAGAGCTTGAGATTGAGTTTTACCATAAAGTACTTTAAATTTGAATGGAGTAACAAAGGGTAAACAAATGCAGCAATTAGATACTATGTTGAAAAATGAACTACACAACTTGTGGGTAGGGACAGGAGTAAAAAAGAAAACTAGAGAAGGGTGAAATTGTCCAAAAAGAAATGTACTCTTCTTTTTTTTTTTTTTTTAACCAGTCCTGGGGCTTGAATTCAAGGTCTGACAACTGTCCCTGAGCTTCTTTTGCTCAAGGCTAGTGCTCTACCCCTTGAGCCACAGCACCACTTCTGGCTTTTTTTGTTTATGTGGTACTGAGGAATTGAACCCAGGGCTTCATGTATGGTAGGCAAGCATTCTCCCACTAAGCCACATGTCCCGCCCAAGAAGTGTGCTCTTGACTTACGTAACTAACCCCTTTGTACATCACCTTTACAATAACAATAAAAAATAAAAATAAAAGGCTAGGCACCAGTGGCTCACTATAATCCTATCTACTCAGGAGAGTTAGATCTGAGGATTGAGGTTTAAAGCCAGCCCAGACAGAAAAGTCCCCATGAGATTATCATATCCAACTAATGTTGGATATGATGTGGCTTAAAATGGCAGAGTGCTAGCCTTGAGCAAAAGAGCTGATGGACAGCACTCAGGCTCACTAAGTTCAAGCTCTACAACCGACCAAAAAATAAATAAAAAAATGTGTATAGAGTCAGGTAGAAGGAAGTTTACCATGAGTGCATTCACTTACCTGGTTCTGGCTTATAAATTTGTGAGGTTTATTTAGTAGAAATATGAGTGAATTTTTAATTATTTGTTATAATTGACACATGAATAAAAACAAAAACTACATAGAGTTTCAAAGCAGGTTTTTGAGGAGCTAAATGAGTGATTATGATTATTATTGAACACAATTTTAGTCTCCTTAAGACTCACCAAACCTTATATTTACTTTCTAACTGCTAATAAAATGCCATTTTAGAAGTAGATACCGGTGAGGAGAACAACATTTTTCAAAAGGTACTATTATTTCTGAATCTGTTTTGCAATCAAGTTCATGATTCTCTAATTTTAAAAATGACATTGTACTGAAAATAGTGACAATGCTGGCTTGTTATAGTCAAGATGACATCTAGCCCAGCTGTGTTTGTTTAATTGCTGTAAGAGGTTTTGTAAGGAATAATTATGTTTTAGGTTCATTGTGCTCTTGTATGCAAATATGGTATATTTATTTTTACCAAATATTCATCAAAGTAAAAAGAAAATAAAAATAATTATTTTCTGAGCACAGCATTGACATTCTCATCCTGCTTGCCAAAGTATGACTAGTTTGACAGGCTTTGGAACATTAAAAGTTTAAAATACAGGATCCTTTATCTAAATGTCATTTAACGTCACTTACTTCTCTGCAGATATAATCCTAACGTCAAAAGGAGAAGATAACTGAGAACTTCAAATGGAAATTATGAAAACATGTTTCCAGAAGTTACTTCAAACTAACAGATAAATGAATAGCCTATACAAGAAGGTTTAAGTTGCAAAGTATTTTGTCTTAAGTTTGTTACATAAAATGCATACAACTCCATTTCTTCTGTGTGTGGTATTGAATATTGTTTGTTTTGCTTTTAGGAGCTGTCACCTCACCTCATGATAATTTTTCTATTTTAAAACATATTTCCTTTATATTAAATAATAATACCTCACAGTCCAAAATCCCTAAGGTAGTTAAGGGTAAAGACTAAAGTCTCTCTTCAACCACTCTTGCTATTTGGTACACCAAGGAAAATAACTCATATTATTTCTATGTGCACATTTAAATTATTATGAATATCAGTATGAATGTCAGTAATTTCTTACATGTATGATATCAAAACATATAACATTTTGCTATATATATATATAGAGAGAGAGAGAGAATAGATTGGTATGTTATAGGCATATCAACATAATATTTATTTGAACTTTTTCTTTATAGTGTATCCTTCCCAACTGATACCACCTAAATGAAATAGCTTCAGTGATTACCATGTCAATCATGTATTAGTTTTTTTAATAAATTTTTGAGATTAAGTATACATAAATTTCACTGTATTATGAGATAGTGATAGTTAAAGTCACAAACACATTTTAAACTTCACAAGACAAATTGTCATTATCATGGTCTATAATGTTTGTGAATTCTATGAGCTTTGACAATACTATTTCTTCCACATTGGGTGATATGTACGTTTCTTTCCTTTTGTTTATTGTAAGCTGTGTCCTCTTTCCCTCATTCCCTCCCTTCCATCGCTGCCCTTGAAATGCTTAGTTCATTTTCATCAATGACCAGTACAGCTGAGGGGCCACTCTGTTGTATATTTTCCCATTTCTCTCTGATTCTGTGTCTTCCTCCTAGCTTCCATCAGATGTCCACATATATATACCATATATGTGGTCAAGAACATGGAATCAGTTAGAAATGATACAACAAATTGAGTGGAGATCCTTTGTTCCTCGAGTCCTGTTTACTTTGTCATAACGCCTTGCATTTTGGAGTTCACATCCACATATTGGAGTCCATGTGCTGTTTGTCTCTCTGCTCTAGGCTTACCTCACCCAAAGTGATTTTTTTCTAGTTCCATCCATTTCCCTGCGAATGCCATCATTTTGTCATTTCTAATGGCTGCATAATATTCCATTGTATATAGATATTACAATTTTTGGATCCATTCATCTGTAGTGGGGCATCTGGGTTTTGGCTATTGTGAACAGTGCAGCAATGAGCATGAGGGTGCATGTGAGGTGCATGTGTCCTTGTATCCTGGTTCCTGTTGCTCAGGATTGATGCCTAGGAGTGATATGGCTGGGTCATAAGGGAGGTCTATATTTAGCTTTCTGAGGAACCTTCAGACTGCTTTCCAAAGTGGTTATGTTAGTGTACATTCCCACCAGCAGTGCAATAGGGTTCCTCTTTTTCCACATCCCCGCCAGCATTTGTTTTTGGCTGAATTTATGATGTGGGCCATTCTGACAGGAGTACCGTGGTATCTCAGGGTTGTTTTTATTTGCATTTCCTTTACACCCAGGGATGATGAACATTTCCTCATGTGTTTGACATTTTTATCTCTTCTGGCAAGTCTCTCTTTAGCTCCCTGGCCTATTTAATGATTGGTTAGATTAGGGAGGGATTAATTTCTTGAGTTCCCTGTATATAATGGATATTAGGCTCTTGGCTCTTGCCTAATATATTGCTGATAAATATTTTTTCACACTTAGTTGGCTCTTTCTAGTTTGGTAGGTATGTCTTTAGCTGTGCAGAAACTTTTTAATTTAAGGTAGTCCCATTTGTTGAGTCTCTCCAATTTGTTTTGACCCTGGGGCTCATTCAGGAAGTTTCTGCCTGTGCCTTAAGTTCCAAGTGTCTCTCCTACTCTGTCCTACAGTAGTTTCAGAGTTTTAGGTTTGATGTTGAGGTCTTTAATCCATTTAGAGTTGATGTTAGTGCATAGTGACAAGCTGGGATCCACTTTTAGTTTTCTGCATGTGGCTGCCCAGTTTTCCCAGCACCAATAGTTGAAGTAGCTCAAGTAAACAATCTTATGATACAAGTAAAATTGTTAGAAAAGCAAGAAACAATTGAAGCTAAAGTTACTAGATGAGTGAGATAATCAAAATAAGGGCAGATAGAGATTTAAAAAATTATAAAGTTAATGAAACAAAAAGCTGTTTTTTTTTAAAAAAAATCAAAGTTGACAGAACCCTTGCAAGATTAACAACAACAAAAAAAGATTGGGGAAATTTTCAGTGATAATCTTACTGAATGAATGTTGCATCCCTCTGTTCTGGTATTCCTCACCATCCACCCCAATGATATGAAAGTTAAATTTCTTGGCACTGTCTGCTTATTCTTGGACTTCCATTTGGCATAGTTAATTTTTTCCATATTTGTGACTTTTTTCCCAGCTGCTGCATTTTGTCTTCCATACCTGATACTCTGTTTTCCATTTCATTCACTCTATTAACTATGGCTTCAATTGTGGTTTGCATGGAGGAAATTGAACCAGTTAGGATTTCTGTGTCAGTTCTGAAAGTATTAATTTCACCTTTCAAAGAGATGTGTACTGCATCTATTTTTGATTGCAGCTCTTGTTTGAAATTCTGGGTTTCTTTTGGTAATTCGTTTCTTTGTTCTTTAAATTTATGATCTGTTTCTCACTTTAGTTCTTGTGTCATTGCCTCTCAGCTCTTAGATATAGTGTTTGTGTTCCATTTCCTTTTCACTTTCAGTGGAGATCTTCTCTGGTGGCTGCTGGCCTTTGGGATAATTTGCTGTCTTTGCTGTTGATAATCTTGTAATTTTTTGCTGTGATTTTTGCATGATGTTTCAGGGATTATTAGAGATCAATCCCGAACTCTGACTGTTTTGGTCAATAGGTGGCTGCCTTTGCTTGGTTCTGAGTTAGTTCCGCATCAATTGTTGGACCTGTTCTCAGCCCTAGGCTGGCTGAGAGACTTTGCTTGGTCTCAGTTCTGTGGTGGGGGTGGGGGTGTGGGGAGGGGAGCAACCTCCAGCTGCTAGTCTGACCCACTTAGGGCTCACTCTTGTTAGATTCTGGCGGGCAGACCCACTCCACCCTCTGCTGAGGCATGAGCTCAGTTCCTGACTTCAGTCAGGGACAGGTGATGTCTATAACTCCTGCTCCCTGGGACACTGATAGGACTTGTTCAGCCACCTGCTGAATGAGGACCTGCCCACAGGCAATTCCTGACTTCAGCCAAGGACCAGCTCTCCTCTCAGGAGGTTTGCTCTTGGCAAACCCAGGTGGGCTGGATGTATTCCACCAGTTGCTGGCACCCAATCGCAGTTCCTGACTTTAGCCAGGTACTTGCGGCTCTAGCTGCTTGATCCCCAGCCCAGGATATACTGGCCAGGCTCTTTCAGCCCATGGGTGCAGGAGCAGCCACGTTTGACTTCCGTTCCGGGGGCACACTTGGTCAAGCCCGATGGGCTTGTGCTCTACTGGATGCTGGGGCGCTTGCACAATTTCCAGCTTCAGTGGGACCAGTAGTAGCCCAGGAGGTAGGGAGAGGGGTCCAGGTCAAGCTCTGGTCTCCAGTGATGGGGAGGGGGGGTGTCATCCCCTGTGGGGTACTCACTTATCCTGGAACTGGTTGGGGGCTGTCTAGTGGTGCTGCAGCAGATCGCTGTTTCTGAGAACACATTCTGTGTTCTGCGTTCCATTGAGATGATGGGGATGGGCCGGGGGCTGGGCTGGGCCGGGGGCCGGGGGTGGGGGGCTCCGGGTCTGGGTTTACAGTCCCTGCCTCTGTTTATGCCGTCGGGTCTGGCACCGTGGGCGTTTTCTGCGCTGGCGTTCTATGGGCCACTGTGGCTCTGGGGTCTCTGGCAGTGCTCCAGGCCAGGCTGCTGGCAATGGGTGGGGAAGAGGCTTGGTGCAGGTTTGTGCCCGAGGTTTCTGTCTCAGCTTGCACTCTCCAGGTCAGCACTGGTGTTCTACAGACCACTGCAGCTCTGGGTCTCTAGCCACCATGGCCCAGGCTGCTTGGTGTTGGTGCTTTCCATCTTTGTGTAGGTTCTTTAGTTTTTTCCTTTTTGTTTTCTACTTCCTGTATTTCTCTGGGTGTTCGCCTTCTTGCTGTTGTTGGTCTCTTGGGGAAACCGAGCCTTGGAACCTAAAATCTATTTGGTTGGAGAGAGATGTGGTGTTTCCCTACTGTTCTGTCACCATCTTGGGTGTATGTATTCTTACACTAAACAAAATGGTATGAAAGCGCTCCGTCAAGCTGTGGGTAGACTTTACCAGGATAGAGAGATTATACCTCTCTTTGGTAGTCTTCCTGAGGTATTGTACCTCTGCTTTGACCTTAAAAGTTCTAGTTTTCCCACCTGTAAAGTGAAATAATGAGGGTGTCTCTTTCCAGTCTTAAAGGGAGATGGTAACAGAAAATGAATTTCAACTCTTGTGTTAGAATCATAGTGAAATCTTATCTTTAAACACAAATGTATACCTTTTATAAGGACTAAAAACTTTCTAGTCATTTAAATTCTACCCCTCCCCAATAATCTTAACCTTTTTTTTTTTTTTTTTGGTCGGCCGTGGGACTTGAACTCTGGGCCTGGGCGCTGTCCCTCAGCTCTTCAGCTCAAGGCGAGCGCTCTACCACTTGAGCCACAGTGCCACTTCCGGTTTTTCTAGTGGTTTATTGGAGATAGGAGTCTCACGGTCTCTCCTGCCCAGGCTGGCTTTGAACCGTGATCCTCAGATCTTAGCCTCCTGAGTAGCTAGGATTACAGGCGTGAGCCACCAGTGCCTGGCTAATCTTAACTTTTTTAAGGTTGTTAGTGGGAAATACAAAAAGGTATAGCATAAGTTAATACATTGTTACTTCATGGATCATTGTGTTTCCCCCAACCCTCGTATTGAAGTCAAAAGAAGTCGCCATCGCCATCCTGAGTGTCCTGAAGATATTTTCTGCCTTTTACTTTTTTAATGGAGATAGTTTGTAAATGGTACAGGCCTTGTGGTGGTGGTGGTGGTTGTGGTGGTTTGTTTTGGCAATACTACTTGATCTTGCCATCAGCCC